CACACACACACAAACACACAGTTGGATGTGTGTTCCTCACATGTTTCTTGCAGGAAAGGGAGGGATTAGACAGAGCCATCAGTAAACTCCTCCGGGAAGTGCTGACATTAAACAGCACAAGTGTTTGAGAGATCGATGTGGGTACCTTGGAGCAGCCATACCTCTGGACAACCATGTGCCCTTCATAACTGCACAGCCCTACATATGACACATTCATCATCAAAGGCAGCGGGAACACAGAGTGATGTGGAGAGCTGCGAGGAGGCCTTGGAACTTCACAGAAAGACAGAACTCCTCCACCGCTGCAGGGGTCCATGGCACCCAGCATGACAGATTTCATAGACAAATAAATGCTGACTATAACGGCTAATAACCACATGGCAAATGGTCCATCATCATTAAATGTTGGCAGAGCCCTGTTGCATTGGTAATGTGATGTTCCCATAAACTCAGTTGCAGTTTATGGGGCACATCGTGTTCTTGACAAAACTTGCTGTTTGCAAAACGCAATTCATAGTCACCGTATCAAAGTTAAGCAGGTGATTCTGCAATGTCTCCCACTGCAAGCTGCATACAATCCAGAAATAACATCTATCATACAATCTGTGTGTTTAAATAACCAGATGAATCAGAGTTCATATGCAATAAAGTAATCAGTATTATTCATTTACTTATTTTGACATGAGTGACAGAATAAGCTTTGTTTTGACTGTGCAGTGACAGCATTATGTTTGAATTTCAAAAATGGTCAAATGTCCAGCAGTGAAAACTACTTTTCATAGTAGTTTCAGTTTGACTTAAGGAATTATTTAAAATATTCTCTTTGTAATGATTTTCTTTCTCATTTCATCCTGCCACTCTGTTGCCACACTTTCCTTTTTCAGTCTTTTGTCATGCACATGCGTACTTGTAGAAAGCAGATAAGAAACCTGGTTACCTGTGTGAAAGGCAGAGAAATCAGCGTTCTTCAGAAGAAATCCGCCCGGAGAAACCAGGTTTCTCTAATCTGCTCCGATTATGGAAAGCAGGTTTCTTGTTTACGTGCCATTTACGATATCATCTTATTGGAGAAACCTGACTGTAACCTGGTTACTTAAGTGCATGTCAAAACACTGACTGTAATACAAAAATAGTACAAGTTTTCTCACAAGTAATACAATTATTATGTACTTTTACAGTATGTCATGGCTTTATATTTACTTCTGGCTAGTACATTTTGACCAGTTATTTAAAAACTTGATTGTTGATAGTAGAACTGTTCATGAAACAACACCAGAAGGAAGATAGTATGGGGAATTGGTCTAATTTTATCAGTGTTGACTCACTGACAATCTCTTCTTAATGATCCAAATCCACAAGCACTCCTTTGTGTGTTGACTTACTATTCTCAAAACAGGAGCTACACTTAATGTTTTATACCAATTTATTGCTATTACTAACAAGAGCCTGGATCCAAAATGACTCCAGCATCCAGAACTGTGCCTAATACACAAGGTAATGACATGACAACAGATTCTTCTTCCACTTGTATTCAACACAAACTCGACTCTACGGAAGTACAGCCACATGTTACTTTCTTTTAGCTATTACTACAAAGATAACTGAAGTTTAAACGAGCCTCAGTATGGGAGAGTATTTGTGTTAATTCATAAACTAGATCAGAAATCCTCACCTACAAAAGTGGTTGAATTGTTAGATACCCCCCCTGACATTTTTTTTAAGACAATTTATTCATACATTTGGTGAGCAGCTGCATGTAAATTCCAAACCCTGAAGACCAGATGGATAAAATGTTAGCACGGTGAGCTCTTTATCTAAAAACAAAGGCAAAGCATGCATATGAATTGATGCATTCCTGCTTAAATTTCTATTTCCTGCTTTGAATATGTTACTTTTGTGTTTTTGTGAGAACGTTTGCAGACACGGATGGGTGTGTCCGTCTTTTTAGTGTAGTTCTCAGTTGTTGCTGTGTCCATTATGGTGATAAATCTGGGCGTGCATTAGCATGTGTTTGTATGTGTGTGTGTTCCCGCTTCCCAGAAAAACCTGTCATTTCCACGGGTCTCGTTCCCAATCAGTTGTCAGGCTGTGAATGGGTGGTTTGAATTTGCAGATCGCTGCTGAATCACACCACATCAGTGTCATACATGTTTATGACACTGATGGCGGAGGCGGGGGATTGCAGCACAACAGAGAGAAAAACAAACAGGTCTCCAAGGTGATCGAGAAGATTTCTGAGACTGAAACCAACGTGCTTATTATGAGACAGGCAGGCTAAATAGGCTGGAGGATGAGCCAAGAGGCTGATGGAGCACAGTAATCACTGGCAAATTGCAAACCTTAGTTTCAGCACGAAAACACTTTACATAATGCATCTATGGAGTTGTACATATCACACATCTGCAACAAATATCCCCCAGTGAAAGCACTGCTCAACTCAGCTGAAAGAAAGTGTAATAATATTAATAGTATTGTATCTAATTGTATTATTAACTAATATTGTTGTGTATGTACCTGTGGCTGGGTCAACAGTACGCTCAATCAAATGGTCGTCCTGGTGAACCCACTCGCCGTTGCACTTGAAGTAAATCTGCGTAGCTGGTGTAGAGCGGCAGGTCAGCGTCACCGGCTTGTTCTTCACAATGTACTCGTCCTCTGGCTCCACCAGGAAGTGAGGTAACAGGTCCGAGAAGGCGGCAGGAAGTGTTGCTGTGGCAGCGTGCTCTGAGCCTTTAGAGAATAAAAGAAGCAGCGGTTATAGAGAGATGCCAAATAAAACTAAAAACGCTTTTAAGTTTTCAAGTTGTCATGAAGGCAGGAGCTGAACCTCTCTTGCTTTGCCGTCATGACAGCTCGACTAGTGAGTGAAAATCCAGCATATACCAAAAAATCGAGTGCAGAGATTCAGTGTCCTTGGTGAATTGCAACTCATACATGTGCATATGAAAGAGGCAGACAGAGACAGATGGACAGAGCGAAAAAAGAGTCAGAGCTGTATGGAGGAAGGTTGGCAGTGACAGAGCTCGGTCTTGTGAGTTCTTGGGGTAGTGGGGTTCATGTCTTCACTCCGGCTCTTAATCACAGCCCTTTAACATCACCGCTGATGGACCGACGGCCATAAATCTCATCTCAGCGACTAGGCCACTTCACACTCTGTTATACGGCTCTTCAACCAGGACTCTAACTCTGCCCACATTAAGCAAGACAGGACAAGAGGCAGGGAGGTTAGAGATGACTGACAGCCAGTTACACTTAAAATCACTTCCTATATATGGTAAATGTTGTTTTATTCCTCCAGAATCTAATGACATGTAGGAGGTGTGGGGGAATAGGAGGGAAGATACACTGTGCGGGGAGAGCAAGAGCTGTCCTTCAGGGGGACAAACCTACGGTTTACAGCAAACGTTGCGAGCGCTGAAAATGCTCAACACAAACACTGAATGACACAATGGAGCCTACAGCGTACACATCCTTCCTCTGTGAACACAGTTTCTCTCTCTCTAAACATATTAGCCTTGTGCGAGAGATAGCAAGAGGACACGGAACTGAGCAGAAAGAGGGAAATAACCTCTTTACACCACCAACACTCGGGGGAGACCAGTAAATCCCAAAATAAAACCCCTTTAAAAGGAGTGTAATATTAATTTACTGCCCTGAATCCAATATGGCTGACAGACCAGGCATTAACAACCTTCTCCATCACTCCCTGTGCAGCAGGAGAGTATGGGAGTCCACATCTCTCATAATGAAACAGCAACACTCACTCTGACCTTTTCCTCCTCTCTTCCTTTCCCCTCCCTTACCCAGCCTTCGTTCATCTTTGCAGCTTGCTGATGCCCAGGTCAGGGATAATATTACGTTGCGTCATAAACACCTATCTTTGTATAAAGACATTATCTGTCAGTTCCTCCCCCACTACACATTATATTAATGTCTCTCTTTCTTCTCCTATTTTTCTTTTACCCTTGTGTGCTGAGTTGCTAATTTATCAGGATGAGATACAGTGAAGCATGCCACTGCTGCTGCTGCTGCTGCTGAACCCCATTAATGTTTCGTGTACATGTTTAACTCTTAATGAAAACTAAATGTTCTGTGTCCAATGAACGACATAGATCACTTGCTGACACTTTGCCTTTTTCCCATTTTCCAAGCACATTTTCTTATTACAACACATTTGCAGAGGAGAGAATGTCATTAATATGGCAGCTCCCTATTCAGGACAACACAACCGCCTGGCATTATTTACTATGTATGCGAGTGTGTGTGAGAGTGGTCTCATGGTGTTGAGGAAAAGGCCACAGTTCATCATGAATAGTGAGTATAATTGCTCTAACGGAGAGCCAAAACTTTGTTAATAAACAGTGTGGGACCAGTAGGTCAGGTTGTTTGAAAGTGTGTTGGTCCTAATGATGGCGGCTTCTTCTAATGGGCCGGCTTCCAGCTTTGTGACCACAGCCATTAGCTGGCTGGGCTGACCCTCTGTACTCCCCGCAGACTGAAGACGACGGCTCTCTAAAACAGTGGGCGAGACTCACCTCACACCTGCCAGGTTAATCATCTCATAGAGGACAGATGATGTTGAAACTGAGAGTGAAACCAAAGCCACCTGAGACACTGACGAGTCGCGAGAACGGCTTGATGAGCTCCTGATGTTGTTAACTCGCCGCTGGCTTCTCATTTGCAAGGGGTCACATTCAACATGAACTCTCAACTTTTGATGATGTTTCCAATTTGTGTTTGTGTGTGCACGCTTGTGTGTGTCACAAGGGGTGGGGGTTAGTCTTCCATTTTAGTACATGCACTTTAGGTTAATGAGGTTAAACACGTAATTTCTTTAGAGAAGTAAATTGTCATTTTATGGGGAGGGCATTCTAGTCACGCACTGCTTTATATCAAACCCATAATGGAGGGCTGATGCGTAGTAAATTGGCTTAGATTATTGTCACGACACAATGTACTTCAAAGTCAACGTGCGCATACACACACGCACACACACACACACACCCACACAAACACACACTCACTCACTCACACACAGGGAGTATCAGCCACTTAACAGACTTCTTGCAGGTCAATGCACAAATCAAATAGACATACAGCTGCTCTATGGACACTGCATTAGATTCCACTGAATGTGATTGTCTAAAAGCACTATTAATTGTCAAATGCATGCGAGTCCATTGCCAGATCATTTAGTACACACACACACACAAACAAACACAGGATGTTAAATGTCTCCCTTGTTGATCATTCGGCCAATCAAGATGACTTAATTGATGCAACATGCTGGATGTGTTGCTGGGGCCCAGTAACCATTACGCAACTCTTTCAAACATTTTCATGAAACCAATCCAGAATAATAATTAAAATCTTTGTACTTTTTTAAAAAGAAACACATCAGAGGTTGTGACA